ATATTTTATCTATTATTTCAGGGTTAGGTTAAGACAATTTCTGGGCCGAGCGCTGCGGTTAGGACAGGCTAGTTAAAAATTAACCAAAAAATAGTCTAAATGAAATTTTGCCCTTTTGTCACAATTTTTGGGTTTACCATATGTCGTTTCACCCTATGCCGTTTAACCCTATGGCATTTGACTCTAGGTCGTTTGACCCTATGTCGGTGAATCAAGATCAGTCAACGGTTTAACGGGTATCCTTGTAAATTAGAGATGACATTATTCAGATGAAAGTTCACTTAAAATTACGCTTACAGTTCCTTTAACTTTAAAGATAGTTTTATTAGAGACAAAACCCTGATTGAATTCAAATTGAAGAAAACAAATACATCTTGGATTGGGTGGTTCAGGGAGAGGACGGGAGGCAGGCGGGCTATAAATATGGCGTATAAAAGATGGGGGTTAGGGGGGGGGGGTTAAGAGGGCTGTTAATTTGTTGAGCAAACTTTAAACTTTGATACATTGAGGAATTATCCAGATAGATTGAGAAGGGGGAGTTTTTCTTGGTCAGGGTTACTCAGGTAAGGTTAGATTTGGGTAGGAATCCATAAGCACAGTAAGAAAACATAGATAAAAATAAAAATAAAAAGAAAGTAAAAAAAATAGATCTTACAGATAATCTTACATAGAAAAGGATAAAAATTAAATTGGCATAGTTTTTTTTTAACGGCCATGGTCAACCATTCATGTACATTCCCGTTTTACAGTTATATTAAGCTACGTGTCATGATTTTTAATTATTAAATTTAACAGTTTAAAATTCCATAAACTGTGAATGATTCAGGCATCTTGTAGAATAAAATTTTAAAGAGATTACAATAGATGGGACAGTAAATTAAATGTAAAGCATCTTGCATTTATTTGATAATAGATGGATGTATCGAATTTAATTCGATATTAGAAAGTTAATTGTGAACTAAAAGTACAAAAGAAAATTGTGGATTTGGTCAGAAAGATGTTATACTTAATTTGAGGTTAATGTTACTCGTAACAACAATTGTGTACTCTAGACTAGATACACCTCTATAGTTTTTATTTTACATCCCAAGTTGATAAGAATACTTTTAGCACGCTTAGAAAAATGAATCAGTATCAACTAATTTTCATAATGTAATTTAACTGTAATTCTTTAATCAATTGTCTAGATAATAAATTATGATAGAAAATAATATATGTAGATTATAACCGAAATGTATTGGTCATTTGATTTGTAATATTCAATTTAATTCAATATTTGTTTAAAGGGAGTGTTCGCGAAAAATGAAATGGGGTATAGGCTTAATGCGATAAAAAAGCGCTTTTGATCGCTGCTAATTTTACTTCTATCTATTGCGTCTATAAGGAGAAAATGTTAAAGACGTCTCATAACGAATAACTCAGTGCCCATACAAATTGAGAAAATTGCAACATATGACTTAGACCGTAAAAAATCAATTTAATTTAAAACAAATCATTCAGATATTACAACCTATAGTCATCGATTATCTTTCTCCACATTTGTATATAGTTTATATTTTATAATATTTTCTTTTAGAAAACGTTTCAATGGATTTCGAAAAATTTGAGTGGTGCGCGGCATTCTTAGATAGTTGTGCAAGCGACAAGAGAAATAATCAAATTCAAAACAAATTAATTAAAAAATATTATAAAATATAAAATATATTCAAATGTGGCGAAAAATAATCGATGACATAATCGGTATGAGACGTCTTTAACTATTTTCTCCTTATAGACGCAACAGATAGAAGTAAGATTATTAGCGATCAAAAGCACTTTTTATTGCATTAAGCCTTTACCCCCTTTCATTTTTCGCAAACACTCCCTTTAAATGTGTATTCAAATAGTTTTGTTTGTTTCGATCAATTTAACAATTCTAAAAATATATCAAGTAAAGGCAAGCTTGCAGTTATGAATAGATCTTGGAATACAGTTATTCTACATTTTATTAATAATTTAATAAACTTGATGCATGGTTCAGATAAAGTTTTTATTTCTTTGTTAATATAAAACTGCTCGGATACATAAAAGACTCAAAGAACAACCTGTTGGTAAACTCTTACTTCTTATTATTCCCTGAAGCACAGCTAAGGTCTTGATTCCGTCATTACATAGAAATGTATAGTTCCCAAGAGATCGTTAAATGGAATGCGGGGAATTTGTGTTTTAGGACAGAAACAAAAATGTAAGAAAAAATTGAGGCTCAAGATTGTGTATAGTTTTGACATCAGAAAAAGATTTGGGAAATTAAAATAAAAAAATCAAGTATCTTGGCTTTAATCGTAATTTCAATTTCAGTCTGAACTTAATGGATTGACAAACTCAATAGATAGATAAATTCAACAGATAGATAAACTCAATGGATAGATACATTCAATGTATAGATAAATTCAATAGATAGATAAATTTAATAGAGATAAACTCAATTGATAAATAAATTCAATGGATGGATAAATTCAATTGATTGATAATTCAATGGATAGATAAAATCGATGGATAGATGAACATGGTTTAAATAGTTTTTTCCATCTCATGATCTAAGTTCGTTTCCTTTTGTCCATTTGACAGCCCATTTTTTTAAATAATCTTTTGTTGTTTGTTTATTTTCTTGTGGTTTTTAACATTTTTTTTATCGATTTTAATGGTTATTATATCTATAGAACTAACGAGGGTCAACCCAGACCGAAATAAATTTTGTGGAACTAACGTCTACACTTTTTTACTCTACAGAGGTTTGGTCTTTCACCATCACCGAGTTTTACATGGATAGATAAACTCAATAGATTGACAAACTCAATGGATAGATAAACTCAATGGATAGATAAATTCAATGGATAGGTAAATTCAATAAAAAATTCAATGAAAAATTCAAAAAGTTGGTAAATTCAATGGTAAGTAGGGTTTCCAAATTTTCGTTCAAACTCTTTCGCGAAAATTTCGTTCAGGCAACAAAAAATTGAACGAAATTGCGTTAAAATTTTTGCGAAATTTGCAAAATTCGTTCTAAAGTTTTGACCTTTAGTTCAAAATCGTATTTTTTTTCGACAAATTTTCAACAACTCGTTTTCGCGAAATTTTAACCTTATTTTAATAACATTTTTAGTAACATATTAAGAATTTGAATTTTCGTTAAAACTTTTTGTTTAATAATTGTTTAATTGAAGTCAAAGTTGAAAACTAAATTTGCTGATTTTAACATCCCTAACACATACCAGTCGTTGCAGAAATATTAAAATAAAATTTAACTCTTAAACATTATTTACCAAAGATTCACATCAAACATGAAATTTAGTCATTTTCAATCTTCATGTTCAGTTGAACACCCAGATAAACAGTATTTACACATACATTAGATAATTCGTCTGCATATTTTATGTTTAACAAGAATCATAAACCAGTAATACAGCATTACCCGCAAAGGATGAGACTTCAGAAACAGTCAGAATTTGTTGGGTCTTCGTCAACGTTAATTTTTTAATGTTCCCCGCAGCTTTAAACTAATTTTTTCAATTTGACAAATCATTGAATATACCATTCACGAACTATTTTCAAGATAGAAAAGCCCACTTCAACCTTCAAATCTTCATAGTTAACCCAACCCTAGCTGGGCTATGTTTGCTTAATATAGGCTGTGTGTGGGGGGGTCTCCCCCCCTTATGATTTTGCCCTTATAAGTTGAGAAAGGAGAGTGTGATACATGTCCTTAGTCTAACTTTTCAAGGCCTGCTCATTAAAAACAAGAACTCCTCTAACTTTAATGGTTATGGGGTGCAAGGGAAGATTTTTAATGAGTTCAAAAATTATGTCGGAAAAATGTTTAAAAATAATTATTTTTAACTTTAAAAAATATTAACAGACGACAAATATTATTACATTTTTCAAGGGCTTTTCAAATATAATTTTTCCCCTGTAGCTAAATTAATAAAAAAGTTATTAAGCATTTCCGATTTTTTTGAAACACCGACCACCCCCCCCCCCCCCCCCCCGTTTAACTGTCCTAAACTCTACCCTATGCGTTTTAAAAAAGAATGCCAACATTTTTTCACAACAATGATGTTGAAAAAGTAAAGAAGTTTCAGCGTTCCAATGCAAGTTAATTAGAAAAAAAATACAGAGAGGGGGGGGGAACTATTACCCCCCCCCCCCAGCCGTGATAGGGTTAAAGATTTTAAGGTTTTCATTAAAGTCTCATCCTTAGTTCGTAACCCTGTATATTCAAGATTCAACACTAGATACTAACTGATGTGAAAATAAAAAAGCAGAAAATCAGATGGGCGGATTATTGGTAACTACTAACTAATTTGGTAACTAACATTTTGTTAACTAACAATTTGACTAATAATTTGGCAACTTGACAATTTGGTAACTAACAATTTGGTAACTTGACAATTTGGTAACTCGACAATTTGGTAACCGACAATTTAGTTAGTTACCAAATTGTCAAGTTGCCAAATTATTAGTTACCAAATTGTTAGTTAACAAAATGTTAGTTACCAAATTATTAGTTACCAAATTGTTAGTTAACAAATTGTTAGTTACCAATAATCCGCCCATCGAAAATCACTGATCAACAATTTATTTTATCAGTTTTCATTCATACGATTTTTTAATATATCAAGAAATTATTGTTTTCCTGAAATTATTTTTTAAGTAACATAAAAATGAAAAATTGATTTTTATGGAACAAAATTTCGTGAAACTGAGGTAAAAAATTTCGTCGAAAGTGCATCGAAATTCGCGAAAAAAATTACGAAAATTTAAATGGAAACCCTAATGGATAGATAAATTATATGGTTATGTATATTTAATGAAATGATAAATTCAATGGATTAATAAATTCAATGGATAAATAAATTCAATGGATAAATAAATTCAATGGGTAGATAAATTCAGTGGATAGATAAATTCAATGGATTGGTGAATTTTTTGGAAAAATAAATTTGAAGAGATGATATTGTTGAGCGAAAGGTTGGACTGAATGTGCATTATTTTCAGATTTATCAAAGAGTGCCAAACAATCAATCAATCAATCAATCAACAACCTCGACATCTTGCAATGAAACAAAACAAAATCCGAAGGTAATATTACATTCCTTCATTTCTAACCAAAATCCAAACCATCGTTTCTAAAATTCCATGTTCTAAAGAACTCTTAGCACAAAAAATGTCAGCAAATTTGGTCCAGCTGTTTGGTCAGCTATATAAAAAAAGGCGATTAATCTCATTCAAAATCGAGACCATTTTTAAATCTACTTACAATTTCCGATTCTAGAAGCCCAATTTTAGGATCGTAAAATTTAGATCTATAATTAACAATTGTACTGTAATAAATTGTAACCTAACAATGAACATAAAACTGGGCAAACAGAGATTATCTTTTACTTTTTACTTGGCTCCAGTTGATAACTTTAGAAGCCTAGAAAAATAATTAATTTTAGAAGATACAAGCCTAAATTAGGCTTGTGGAATCGGAAAGTGTACGTAGATATTAAAAATGGTCTCAATCTTGAAAATCCGATTTCAAACAAGTCTGTAAACCCTTATACAAAATTGTATAAATGAAGATTATCTTATTTTTACCAAATTACTCACTCCAGTTAGAAACTTAAGGAGCCTATGAAATTGTTATTTTTAGATCTACAAGCCTAAAATTGGGCTTATTGAATCGGAAATTCTTCGTAGATTTTAAAAATGGTCTCAATCTTGAAAATTCAATTACAAACGAGTCTGAATTGATCCTTATTCCCAGTTTTTAAAACACCCTGTAAATAGCATTTCTAAGATTATAAAATAAAAAGATCTGATTTAAGCTTCATTTCCGTGTCGTCTAATTCACTATGGGTAACCCCTGCAGTTACATTTATGTAAATTTGGCAGTTTAGTTAAATCTGCCAAATCAAGGGACAATTTAAACTGATTCATTGACTTCACATAAGAAGGCCTGGTTTGGGTTCTGAATATAAAAGGATATTTATGAACATTTTGTTAGAGATGTAAAACTATCCTGAGAACATTTATTGTCTTACATAGTTGTAAAAAAAGGATATCATTTTGAAGATTTTATTACAAAAATAAAAATTCATTCATACAATATGCAATATTATTTCTTTTGGGATCCACAGGGGTTTCCTTAAGTTCTTATTTCATTTTGATATATATATTGCAATGTGCAATGTGCATGAATAACTGAGGATATAATAATGCTCATTCCTCAAGCGAACTTCAGATACGATTGTTATTTCTTTTCTTTTATTCGAGTCACATAGGTTTATTTACTTTCTGTCTTTATTGATAAACTATTCTTATTAATGGTCTTTTTCCATTATAGGTTTTTCTCCTCCTTATATTCAGTGACTTTTTTTCCTCCATAGAAGGTTTATTTACGCTTCTATGTAATTATTTTCCAACCAGCTCTTTACAAAACTGATTTCTAGAAATTCTAGTCAAACTAAGCATATATGTAAGATTAAATTAAACTTGAAATAAAACACGATTTACAATATTATAAAAGATTTGTTGTAGTAAATGTTTAAAAAATAATTAGCAATAGATTCTTCGGCATGATTTCTATATATACAAAACTTTCAAGTCAGATTTTCTCAGAGTTAATATATTAATATTACCGATCTACAATCAGCTCATGAATTAGATTTATTTAAGGCTTGGACAACTGGAACAACTGGGACAATTGGCATGTCAGGAACAGAGACACCCCTCCTCTCTTCCATGCATTCATTAGTCGAGGTAGTATATAATATACCATTTCAAGTCATTTTTTCCCAATCTGTAGCCATGGGTATTCCTAATTTTTCCTGCTTGGAGCTAAAGTGAATATTTATATTTTTCTGGACCCAGGGATTTCACCAGTATTTCCAAAGTTCAGGATATCTTTAGTCTTGTTTCCACTGATCTAATTGTGCTGGTTCATGATAAACTATTAAATTATATTGATGTTTAAGAAGTAGGAATGTCAAGCTTTAAAAAATAGCTCTCCTCTCGACCCGAGCGGACTAGGTTTGTAAGTTTGTTAAGTGACAAATCAAAGACTACTTGCAGCCAGGTATCTTGTAAAAGGTGTTTCAAGAAACACGACCTTAGCATGACGACTTGGAGGTCGTTATGTACCTTGAAATAATTTGCGACATGTATTATTAAACCTAATGTTAGGAGTAATGTTCTTGAGTTGGTATTTCCAACATGTGGTCTGCCTATGATGTGTTTTCCTAATAGCCGGACTCAAATGAAGATTTTTTTTAGATATTTTGGCAATTTTGGTTGAATTTATTAAATTGAAATCTTAACGAAGTTCTTAATATCTATGGTAATATTAACAGCACAAAAAAGGCATTTTGGAAATGCAAGGAATAGTAGAATTTTGTGATATTTTTTTTAAGTATCATACATTTTAAAGTAGTTTGACAAAAATATTCTGCAAATCATTTCATAGATCAAAAACGATCTTCAAGTCGTCCTGCCACTGTAATTTTTCGTGGGACTGAACGACCCTCATAAAATTAATATTATCGAACTGTACACATGATATTTTTGAAAACTGAACGGCATTATCTCATTTAAATCAGGTTTTTGATAAACAACTGAAATTATTTTTGATCTAGGTTGATGATAAACCTGAACAACAGAGAATTAATATAAGTGACTCTGATAACAACTATAACGGAAACAGCACCAAAGGAAACAACCCAGAGGGAAACATTACCAAAGTAAACAATACCAACGGAAACAGTACCAACGGAAACAGTACCAACGAAAACAGTACCAACGGAAACGGAAATACAACAGAAAACGGAAGTAGGCGGAAACGAGAAAAAAGGATGGCACGTGGTAAAGGACTAGAATCTGAGGTTGAACAAGGTGGGTTTTGAAATGTTAATTCTATCTGAAAAGTTCTTGATATTTAAAAATCGCCTGAGTCCTGAATTTATCAACGAAATAGATCATGCATTATATGGACTGTCCATGTAATTTTATGTGGCTCTCAATTTAGAGCCGGATTCACAATGGTGTCCTTGAGCCCAATATTGGAAGACATCGTCGTGGTTTTGTGCCCCTTAAATTCTTGCGATTTCCGTCCTTACACTGCTACACATATCCGCAATTTACTTTTATAGGACTGCAATATCGACAATAACATATTTTCAGTTAGGACAATAAGGATAAATTACATTTTGAGTTAATTCATTTATATATATATCGTATTTGCTGAATATTATCTGTTTTAAGATTTGTGTCATATACCATATCACATATACATGAGTTTTCCTATAACTTTGACACAGTTTTAAAAAATTAGAAAATGATACATATACGTACCTGTATCGTTACGCTTAAATAAACGTAAGGGGATAAAGACATTTTAATTTATAAAATTTACAAAAGTTTACGCTAAATATGATGCTGAATATACCGCATAGTTTTAAAGATGATAAAAGTCGTGAACTAATTAACTATTGAAACTGTATATATACATATATATACCAAAGTGCTTCATTTTTATATCAATTTACTTATAAAAAATATATATTTGCATATTATGAATATATTTTTTTAAACAATATATTTATTTCTTACTATTAAGATTATGATTAACATTTTTTATCATATAGCAATTCACTTTGTAATTTAGCGCAGGTTTTGCCTTACATAGATTTATATCTATCGAATCGTGATTTACAAAAAATAAGTTTTAACTTTTTAAAAATTAAGCTTTTACTTTAAGGAATACGAGAGAGCAGTCATATTCAGATTAGGTAATATTCTTTAAACTTAAAAATTGGAATTAAAGGAACTGTAAGCGTAAAATCAAGTGACCCTCCATGTACAGATGACAATGCCCTATTTTCAATGGTATCCTTAAAAGCGTTGTCTGATCAAGTATGAATTAAAAACTGTACATTTTCAATTTGCTGTTTCTCTTCAAAAGAGACATGCGCATTTTCTGCTTAAAAGAAGCAATGGAGAAACTATCAGAAGAAGACACGAAGACGATATCTTGATCAGATTAAAGGTTCAAGGGTACCGTTTAAATTTATCAATGCCAACTTTGCATGGAGGGTCACTTTAAATTACGCTTTAAGTTACCATTAAGTACAGATTGGAACCTGAAATTTTGGGAATTGAGCACGACCAATATCAGTAACAATTATATTATCAATTATATCCATTAAAAAGGAAAAGTATCATATTCAAAGTATATCCTAATTTTCAGATTTGTTCCGTATTTGCTGAATATTATCTGTTTTAAGATTTGTGTCATATACCATATCACATATACATGAGTTTTCCTATAACTTTGACACAGTTTTAAAAAATTAGAAAATGATACATATACGTACCTGTATCGTTACGCTTAAATAAACGTAAGGGGATAAAGACATTTTAATTCATAAAATTTACAAAAGTTTACGCTAAATATGATGCTGAATATACCGCATAGTTTTAAAGATGATAAAAGTCGTGAACTAATTAACTATTGAAATTGATTCATTATAAATCTCACTTAATATTTGATTGAGTTTCTATATATCAGGTCGACTTCTGTCTGGGGGAGCACGTGGCCCCGGAGTTTTCTTTATAATTCCCTGTGTGGATATGTATGAGAAGATAGATATGAGGGTTCAGAACTTCGATGTTCCTCCACAAGAGGTCAGTGCTTGATGCTGCGCAATTTCCCATTGCAAATCGAGTAAGAGAAATGAGGCATAAGTGTTATTAAGCCCTCTCTTAATCGACAAGTTACATAACTTAAAAGTTATACATCTTACTTTTTAAAATGAGCATTTTATAATCTTATCATTTTATTGGCATACATCACAATGTGGTGGTACTAAAGGAAGAAAAAGATATCTAAAATATTGTATTCAATTCTTTCACTTCGACATTCAGTGAAGCAATTGTGAAGCTGCTGTTTTCTAAAAGAACATTTCATTCGTTTAATTCTGATTATTTGTAATGCAGACTTTAGGAAATTTTTAAATATCCATATCTATATTTTTAGATTTTGACGAAAGACAGTGTAACAGTATTTGTAAACGCTATCATGTATTACAAGGTATAAATATATTTTTAAATATGCGCGTATTAACAAACATAAAGTAACCAAGTTAACATGTGCTTAAAGCAAGCACACGCCTTGTCAGTCATACAATGGTTGCAAAAAAACGATGTGTCCGCTACTCACTTGGTTTGCCTATAACAAGACATGTAAAGTTTCAAGGTTACCTCTAGAAATTTAATAGACCGCTAGCTTTAATGGTTTGGGCGCTAGGGAGGTTTAAAAAATGAGGAAAATTTAATGACAAATAATCAAATATGACACGTACATATTTATATGTCCATTTATCGAGGTCTCTTCAAGATGTAATTCTTAGATATGAAGCTCAGAAAACAAAAAATGTTACGCTTTGAAATAAAAATTAGAAGTTTGAAGGTGAAAGAGTCCAATTAAGAGTGTTAGAGCATAAAAACAGCCTGTTTACGGTTCAGAATTTTCATTTCTCAACAATTCCATCCCTCCGCCCCCACCCCTCACATATTAAACTTCTAACAAAAGGGGATGGGAGTGGGCGAACAAGATAATTGAGTGCGAAAGGAATGAACCTCTACATTAAAGATTCCTTTAGTAAGTCCTTGATATAAGTTTGATTTAAAGGCTTAGTTCAACCAATGCCTTTCATCCAATAAATACTGAATTTTTCCTCGAAGTAAAACGTTATACTTATTATATATATGTAAATGTGTATTCAATTCATAATTATATTCATATCGGTAAAAAAAACAGCAATTTGAGTGCATGGGTTTTCCTATAAAGAGAAATTTTAGTTTCCAAGGAAAGCTAGTATTAACAATTAAGATTTTTAAATGCTCAATTAGTTACAATACAGATTTTATTATTTTATATGATAAAAATGTCCAGATTCATAATAATGCAAACTTTTATATTGATTCAGCCCACTATGAGAAAATTAATTCACCAGTGTGCAAGAGAAATATTTATTTTACAGACCGTATCAAAATGGGTTTCCTGAATTCAAAACGTTGAAAATCAAAAAAATTCAATGCAAAACACTGCCTTTTTAACGGTAATTTGTAAGAGTCTCTTCAACATTAGAAAGAGAGAACCCATGTTTATCAGTGGTGTTTTAGTCTAAGATCCATCAAAAACTTTATACATTGTGTTTTCCTCACCAGCCTCCCTCTCCCCCTCTCTCACCTTCCTTGAGTTTAAGATTGTTAAATTTTTAAGCTCTATAAAACTTCTAACTTTTCAATAATCCAGACTTCCATTAACTAAAAGTAAGAAACTGTTTAATATTCAATATTTAAACATAATATATTCAACTCATTAATATAGATTGTTTTTCATAACCATGAAATGTAGCCAGTCTTCGCTTTTTAAGGGGAATTGTTTAAATTTATTTCTTGTTGAAATTCCTGAAAAAATAGGGAAAGCGCAAAAAAATACAAGTGTGAAAAAGGTAAGGCGGGGTGGGATTTTGTCTCGCCTTTTATAATTCATGGCACTATTTTTCCTGGTACTCTTTTTACCTGGTATTTCTTTCTACCTGGTGTTTCATTTTCCTGGTACTTCATTTTCCTGGTACTTCATTTTCCTGGTACTCTTTTTACCTGGTATTTCATTTTCCTGGTACTTCATTTTCCTGGTACTCATTTTATTCTGGTACTCTTTTTACCTGGTACTTCATTTTCCTGGTACTCTTTTTACCTGGTACTTCATTTTCCTGGTACTCTTTTTACCTGGTACTTCATTTTCCTGGTACTCTTTTTACCTGGTACTTCATTTTCCTGGTACTCTTTTTACCTGGTACTTCATTTTCCTGGTACTCTTTTTACCTGGTACTTCATTTTCCTGGTACTCTTTTTACCTGGTACTTCATTTTCCTGGTACTCTTTTTACCTGGTACTTCATTTTCCTGGTACTCTTTTTACCTGGTATTTCATTTTCCTGGTACTCTTTTTACCTGGATCTTCATTTTCCTGGTACTCTTTTTGCCTGGTTTTTCATTTTCCTGGTACTCTTTTTACCTGGTATTTCATTTTCCTGGTACTCTTTTTACCTGGATCTTCATTTTCCTGGTACTCTTTTTGCCTGGTTTTTCATTTTCCTGGTACTCTTTTTACCTGGTATTTCATTTTCCTGGTACTCTTTTTACCTGGATCTTCATTTTCCTGGTACTCTTTTTGCCTGGTTTTTCATTTTCCTGGTACTCTTTTTACCTGGTATTTCATTTTCCTGGTATTTCATTTTCCTGGTACTTCATTTTCCTGGTACTTTTTTTTCTGGTACTATTTTTTTCCAATATTTCCAATGTTACTGTGAATGTATACTGTATATTAAACAAAGTATTAAGTGTACTGTCCAATTACATTAATATTATGTTTACGATGACAAGGTTAAAAATATACAATATGTAAAAGAAATATTGTATAACGAATACTGTGTTAATTTTAACATTTTGTCTCTAATCAATCCAATTTTCCCAATTAATTGTCCTTACCGTGAAATTAATTTGAATGCTGTAAAACTGGCGGAACCTCTAACTCAGGGGACATTAGTTCCAAAACTAACACTTGGCCCACTGAGTGTTAGAAATGGGCACAAATTGAAAGACTGGGTTTTTGGGGATCCCGGCCAATATCTGCAGCCAGAGTGTAAGTCGATAATAAAAACATAACCAACATTTTATTTAACATAACGAGGACAACAATTCCCAATTTTATACTTTTTAAATCAAATTATAATTGGAGTTCTTTTCATATTAAATCTCTTGACCGTTTTCAAGACAATGTTAGGTTTTTCATTTTCGAACATATCCTGAATTTGAAACATTGTCGCGCTTTCGAGACAAAACCCACTTTCCCGTTTTTAAGTATAATCCTCAATTCAAAACAAAACTCACTTTCATAAATTACAAATAAATCACTGAAAACAAAAATTATCTTATAAAGACTAAATTAACTTCTGAATTATTTCTAGAATCTAAGTTTCCACATTTTATCTGTTAAATTAGAGAATATTGATGATTTATTTTAAAATATTTTAAACACACAGTTTCCTGCATTTCTAGTTAATTCCATATTGTATACAAATGATATTAATGATATTAATATTTTGATTTCTCAATGCTGTAATTATTTTTAAATTCTAAAAGAACAGTTAGTTTTTATTTCCTATTCTGTTTATATTTTACCTTATCAAAAAATCTTGTTTTGTTACGGAAGTGCGTAAATGCTTGAAAATTGACATTGATATGAATTCTGGTAATTGTCTCAAAATCAGGATATGTTCCGAAAACGCGACATGAGCTGAAATCCGGTAATTGTTTCAAAATAGGGATATGTTTGAAAATCAAATCAAGAATCATCAAGAACTAATTCTCACAACTTATTATTAGTTTAAAATTGACTTTTATTGTTTTAATATATAGTTTTAGCCATTTTTATAAATATATGGTGTAGTTTTGTTCTACTCGTTTTGGATTTAAAGATACATGCTCTTGAAAAAGATAACTTTGCAGATTTGGCCCAATTCTAACACTCAGTATTAGAAATAGGCCAAGTGGTAGTTTTGAAACTAATATCTCCTGTACCTCTGAGCGCGCATTTTGAAGGTTGAATTTTGAATCTAACTTGAATGCAGTGACTATCAATAAAACAAAATAGTTTAGGAAAGTAAAGATCAACTATACAGTTGCAGGAAATTAAGTAAAAAAGACTGAACCATCCTGTACAGTAGTTTATGTAGTCTCCTTTTTGTTGGTAACCCTGTATAGTTTAAATAAAAGAATGAGAAAGGAATGAACAAATAGATGAATTGAGTAGAAGCATGAAGAGAAGAGAGAACAAAAAGAACAATACAATCTAAGACAAAAGATCCGGATTCCTTTAATCAAATGTTGAACCTTTTATGTGTTTTGTCTGTACTTAAGGGATGTTTGTCAGTACTTAAGGAAAGTTTGTTTGAAATTGAGGGATGTTTGTCAGTACTTGAGGGGTGTTTGTCAGTACTAGAGGAATGTTAGTCGGAACTTGTTTTGTGTTTGTCAGTACTTGAGTGATGTTTGTCAGAAATAGAGGAATGTTTGTCAGTACTTGAGGGGTGTTTGTCAGTACTAGAGGAATGTTTGTCGGAACTTGATTTGTGTTTGTCAGTACTTTTGTGATGTTTGTCAGAAATAGAGGAATGTTTTTCAGTACTTGAGGGGTGTTTGTCAATACTTGAGGGGGGTTTATCAGTACAGATTCTATAGAATTAAATTTTAATTCTACACAATTAATTCTTTACAAAAAAAAATTAAAATTTATATTCTAGGTAAAAAATGCAACCTCAGCAATTGCAAATGTTGATGATTATGGAGGCTCAGCAAGGTAAGTTTATAAATTTCATCCAAATAGAAAATTACAAAAAAAAGGTTCATAAATTTCCCATTGTTAAACAATAGAGAAATCATAGTATTCAAGGATATCCATTCAAAGAGTTGCGTCAAAGTTTTAAATCGTTTAAAAGACAGTTTACAACAACAGCCTGTGGCGACTAACGCCTTTCTATGATTTGATGACAATAAATACGTTGCAATTTCTACATTTTTTTTTTAGAATTGCATTTTGATTAACTATGTTCTCTTCAATATATTTTAAATTATCTCAAAATATTTGTTTAGATTGTTGGCTGCCACTACACTAAGGAATGTTCTTGGGACCCGGAATTTAGGAGATATTCTCTCAGAACGTGAATCTATTGCTCAAGAAATGCAGGTTACATGATTACACCCATCATTGCTAATCAACCAGGGTGCCCCTTTTCGTTTATTTAGGGAAGGGTATCGTTTTTGAATTTTTTTTTCAAAACGAAAGCGTCTGTTGTGAATTTGCCCATCTCTACATTGTACCCCATTATTTTGAAGTGAAAGGATGAGCCTTCGCTACTCAAAATTATTAGCTGTTGACGAAAACATATCATTTTTTACCAACATAAATCCCGACACGTAACTTTGAAAACATCTCGTAACTTTTGGCAAAAAATAAAGTGATTTTATTAAAGGATTATTTGATGTTTTTAGTTATGTGATTATCTTATATATTATAAAGGCCACCCTTGACGAGGCAACAGAGCCCTGGGGTGTCCAGGTAGAGAGGGTAGAAGTAAAGGATGTCAGGGTACCAGAGCAGCTACAGCGAGCTATGGCAGCTGAAGCAGAAGCAGCTCGTGAAGCTAGAGCTAAGGTTATAGCTGCTGAGGGAGAGCATAAAGCTAGCAGAGCTCTCAGACATGCTGCTGAAATCATAGCGGATAGTCCAGCAGCATTGCAGGTTAGAAATAAATATATTATATTGGATAGTGGTAGTGTTACAGGTTAGAACTAGATATATTGTAGTGGATAGTGGTAGTATTACAGGTTAGAACTAGATATATTGTAGTGGATAGTGGTAGTATTACAGGTTAGAACTAGATATAGTATAGTGGATAGTGGTAGTGTTACAGGTTAGAACTATATATATTAAAGTTGATAGTGGTAATATTATTGGTTAGAACTAGATATATTAAAGTGGATAGCGGTAGTGTTACAGATTAGAACTAGATATATTTTAGTGTATAGTGCTAGTATTGTTGGTTAGAACAAGATATATTATAGTGGATAGTGGTAGTATTACAGGTTAGAACTAGATATATTAAAGTTGATAGTGGTTAAATTATTGGTTATAACGAGATATATTATAGTGGATAGTGGTAGTGTTACAGGTTAGAACTAGATATATTATAGTGGATAGTGGTATTGTTACTAGTTAGAACTAGATATATTATTGTGGATAGTGGTAGTATTACAGGTTAGAACTAGATATATTATAGTGGATTTTATTTTGAGGCGTGGCCTGTGGGTGTCGCTTTTCATGTGCTTTTAAAAAAAGATTTTCTGCCTTTTAACTAATTTTCAAATATAAAATTTGTAAAATTTTTTGTGAAACTTTTTAAAAGTTAAAGATGATTCAATATTTGAAAAGATTATTAAATTATTAAAGAATTCCCAACATTATTTGATGTTTGTTATCGCATATTTATGTGTAATGGTTTTCTACCATTTTCAGTATCTCATGTTCTATCTAATAACACAAAAATGTAATAGAAAAAGGATATTGTTGCACAAACAAAAGCTATCAATTACCTCAGAACCTTTTTCATAAGAAGTGAATTATAGATTTTAATCTATAACATATTATAAAGATTGTTCACAAAATAAAAAATACTCATAAAATCTCTCTTTCCCAGTTCCTTGAATCACAAAACAACAATAATGTTTGTCTTTAAAAATGTTCTTAAGGTCCAGAATGGTCAAAACGTTTAGCCACAATGTACATCGCGTTTTTGCTGAATAAAGCTTTAAGACTCATTCACGTCGTATTCTCTATTCGTCTTAAATAGATTAACGAGGAGAATTTCATAAATAGATTTACGAGCAGATTTTCATAAATAGATGTACGAGCAGATTTACATAAATAGATTTACGAGCAGATTTTCATAAATAGATTTACGAGCAGATTTACATAAATAGATTAACGAGCAGATTTTCATAAAAACGATCCCCACGGCAAAAGCTTTAAACTATTGATAATTGAAATCTGCCATAAAGCGTAAAAAATGATTTCTTATATCTAGATCTTTGGCCATTTTAGAGTCGCTTGAAATGATGAAGTTTTTTTAAGGTTGAAATTTTTCTTTGTTTTTATCAAAACCTCTGAAATGGTTTAGTTTTTCATGGCTTTAATAATATAAACCTTCCTTTTTTCTTGAAACTTGTTAAAATATTTTCTGAGCTAGATTTATTGAGTATTTAACATGCAACAAACACATAACCATAAAAAAGCAACCCCGTTTTAGAGTTTAGGTCATGATAATATAGATTCTTTATTTTGTATTTTCTTTTTTCCCTCCTATCTTAAAAAGTGTGTGTTATAAGCTCTAAGCTTAGAAGCAAGAGCGGCCTGAGTTTAATGTTTGTAGGCTTCCCAACACGATTTTATAATTTATCTGTACACTATATTGTCTATCCAACTTAAAGAGCAAGTTTGCAGATGTTGATGTCATGTTTCTCACATTTATTTGTAAAAAAAATTCTGGAGACCAGCTAAGGGAACTTTCGTATAAATTCCCTTTTATTCGAATTTAGAGCACAAAATATCTAATATATCTGTGGATCGGTTGCATTCCTTTTAAAAGCCTTTCTTCATTGGATTTTTAAAATACATTTGCTTTATTCAAGTTTAAAATTCTAATCGATGTAATCGTCTGAAATTTAGTTTTTCGGAATTAAAATATAATTTAGAAAATTTGGCTAAAGTTATCAACACTTAATTTTGAATGGTTGGGCAGTTAATCTGCAATATGTTGATGTGAAGTATAGTTTTACATTTACGAAATCGTGTTTTTTTATAATTTCAAGAGAATTGGTTTTCTTCACCGCTTAAAATGTTTATGAAAATTACAATTTCTTTGAAATTACAATTTATATCGTTCAGAATTTGCTTTCTTTCGCTTTCTATTATAAAAGGGAGAGTTTGCAATTTTAAAATAGAAAAAAAATATAGTAACGTTTCCACCAAACAAAAGAATGTCTTGTTAACTTTTACTTGCTAAAACTAATTCCTTAATTGATAGTGTTGTATCTAGTCTAGGAAGCATACACTTAATATGTAACCTTGTCATGTATATTTTATTTTACCTGTAATCGTGGTTCAAGTGCCATCATTTTTGTCTAATTGAAAACCCTTCAATATCTCTATCTTATCAATTTTGTTTAAACTTTGCCCCTTTCCCGGATTTCTCTCTTTTTGCTGGAATTCCTAGAATCTAGCAGGAAGTATAGAACCCTAGTTCTAATGGTTCTAGGGACAACCACATCATTAAATGTAGTTTTCACAGTTTTTAACGGAGGCCTGAAAAATTCACGATCTGGCTTTACATAGTTCCAAAAATTTATTTGTGGTTCAAGCTGCTGACATGGTAGAGTTTGAATTTAAAAGTTGACCAATATTTTGCTAGGGTTGATTTCCCCCCATTCTGTGATATATTCATTATAAAGTAGATGCATCCCTTTAAATATACTTTTGTATTTCAGCTTCGATACCTGCAGACTTTAAGTAGTATATCAGCTGAGAACAACAGTACAATCGTTTTCCCTGTTCCAATAGATATCATCTCGAAGATGATTTCAAAATAAAGGTAAAGAATTAATTTTAGGACTAGAAGGAATAGAATGGACTTCGGGGGACTTGAATAGACCAGTAGAATGTACTAGAGTGGACAAGCAGAAAGGACCTGAAAGGAATATAAATAAATAAATGAACTCGTAGAAGGGACTTTAATGGAAAAATGGTGTAAAAACGAAAGAAAGAACTATATGGACCGAGAAAGGAACAGGAAGGTCTAATATTTAGGAGTAAAAGGACTATAGAAGAAAATAAAAGCAACTATAAGAGACTAAAAGTAGTATAAAAAATCTAATTTATAAATAATGATATTTTATTTAATATATACTTTTGGGATTATGTGAAAAATAAAGAAAGATACAAGGTTAATGGTTACCATTGAATAATGACACTTCAGGGACGACTGAACGAACAAAATTCTTTTTCTTACATTCCTAGAGCTCTGAAGCTGTACAAAACTCCTTTTTCTTGTAAAACTATTTATGTTTCCTATAAAACCACTACATATAAGCCCAAATTTTACCTTGACTAAAGAGTTTTTAGGTCGTCATCAATGTCTTATCCTAAAAAGTCTCTTATTGTACATACATTTTGCTTCCTTTATGAAAAATAGAGTACATTAGTAGATATATTGTGTATGATCATTAGTTTTCTTCTTTTCAGTCAGATTGAGAGAAGTATAGTTCCAGTATTCTTTGGTATTGGAGTTCAGTCACGGATATACAGCTAGGTACAGAATACAAGGTTATCCACAAATATTGAAACTGTAACGACAACGCATAACACTTCAAAAAAGTCACGCTTTTTGGATTAAATTGGGAGTTCTTAACTGCATGACAAAGAAAATGACATGCGCCAAAACAAAATTTGATAAATAAGACAAAATGTGTCGTCTTTAGAGTCTCATTCTTTGTGGGCACCTTACATAAATAAATTAATAAATAACAGTTCCTTTTAAAAGATGTGCCAGCAAATAAAATCTTACTGCTAGAAGGAATTTTCCTGAAAAAACACCTGAGTTGAAAACTTTAGAATGAGATATCCTTAATCCCGATTACTTAATCACAGTATCCAATGGACACACTTTTGATTTTCTCCTTAACCCGTTCTTTTTTGGATTTAGTAGAGAAAAATCAAAAACCAGTTTTTAAAAATTAAATAGTCCCTCCCGTTTCTGTATATTAATCTTAATTGGCGCGCTAAATTTCAAATTTATCAGCTTCATATATGCGACTCTGATTGGTTGATTTGTATACACTTTTCAGGATACAAGTGCAAGATAAGGTTAGTCTCGATATTAACAAAAAGAGAGGATCAAGCATTAATCTCGATATCCACCATTTTAAAGTTTTCAGCTCAAAAATCATAATTTAATGTTATATCTAGATTATAGTCTAACATAAAGAACGCAAATAACTTAAAATTGATATTAACACGTCTTGAATCATGCATTTAGTATTTATTTTTCTTGTGCATCTATTTTATTTTCTGGAACACATTCGGGGCACTTTTTCTAAATATTAAATAGTTAAAAATTGCTAAATCCTTAAAGACATTTTATAGTTAAAAAATATCGAAGACAAAGACGATGTGCAATCTTAATCACCCGAATATTGGAGAGGATTGACTCAAATAAAAAACGTGAAATAGAAATTCAATCCTATTCCTACTTAATTATTTAATGTTTATATTCGTTAATATCGAGATTTGTTGGTTCTGAGGGAGGGGCAAATTTAGTTTACATAAATTACCAACTTTTTTATTTTAGGAGGAATTCTCATGAATTGAACTAAACAATAACTGAACTCATTAAAGTTCACGACTGTTTACTTGTGTCAGAATGTGCTCTAATAGATTCTTTCGAGTTATCAAATCCGATAACAAAGTTTTCCTGCCCGCACTGATTACTAGTTTTAAAAAACTTGAGTTGAGGCCTGAGAAATGTTAGAGGTTGAGGGACTTATGAATGTGAATACTCTAAAATAAATAGAAATAAACTGTATCAGAGGAGATTTCATAATATGTGAGGTTATATACACAATTGTACAATAAAACTTAAAATTATATACAGTTTGATGATCTCAGAGAAAGCCCAATACAGATAGTTAAAACTGCAGCTTAAACTCATCACACACCGTACAGAAGTTTTTTTGAAAATTATAAATTTATTTTGTTTTGAATACTCTACTAAAATATGTATGTAAATAACGTATATTTGTTTAAAAGGAAAATTCATTTTAAACAAAAAAGCTTGTTTGAATACAATTTTAATCAGCTCTCTTTTCTTATTCATTAAATTGTCCTGAAGCACTTAAAAAAGATATTATCAGTTTGTTTTTTAATTACAAAATTACAAATAAGAAAAGGTTTATTGAGGTAGGAGGGGGGGGGGAGAGATTTTGATTAGAATTGTATTATATTCTACTGAGGCTGTTGCATGTTGAAGCTTAAACTTTGCTACTATGGTGTCCGGTTGCATGGTTTAGGTTAGAATATGGGGGGAAGACCGTTGTAAGAGGGAACAAGAAGTGAAGGTTGGAAGGTAGGGGGTAGCAAGGGGCATAATGAGTGGCTAAATACCTTATTATTTTTTTTAATTTGTTCAACTTATTTTCAAGAAAAAATTTATTAGAAATTTTTAGTATATATCTTGTATTTCGTTCAATATCTGTAAAATGTTAAACACTAAGAACAAAAAAATATCTTTTTTGTGTCTTCCTGTTGAAATGTCTGGAATAAAAATTATCTAGTTTTAATTATTTAGCTTTGGTTTTCATGGCATTTTGAATTTAAAAATATGTTTAATTTCAATATCTTTAGCTTTCAAGAAAAAAATGCAGTATTTTTGAAAAGAATTAAATTTGGGTTCAGGTACGAATTCAATTCTTTAAAGTAGAAACGCTTAAAAACTGATAATATTTTTCCTAAGAAAGACCTGTAATTTGGTTGGTCTGGTTTCAATTTATAAACGCCTGTGTTTTCTTCAATTCAATTCCCAAATCAAGAAAACTACTTTCCGGGTAAAAAAAGTAAAGATCATTCTTTTAATATCAACATGTAAATTAGAAAGTTGATAGATTATTGCTCTAGCAAACAGCACAATTATATTTATTGTAAATAATTTAAATATCTATTACTACTTATTTCAAATTAGTATGTAAAAAGAAACGATCGAATAAAAATGTAGTTTTATTGTATTGTAGTAATTTAAATGGAATTATAATAGACGCTACAATCTGGTGAGAAATATTTTAAGTACAGATACTGGAAATTATTGTACCAGTACATTAACTTGATATTGTTGAATCAGTACACTAACTGGATATCATTGTAAAAGTACTAGAACTGGATATTGTTTTACCAGTACATTAACTTGATATTGTTGTATCAGTACACTAACTGGATATTATTGTAAAAGTACTAGAACTGGATATTGGTGTACCAGAATAAGAACTGGATATTGCTGTAAAGTAAGAATTATTATTGTTCTAGTACAATCAAGGAGAATAGAATATATATTAGAGTGGAATTCAGAAATCCCTCGGTATGAATTTTTTCAGTTCCTTCAAGCCTGAAAAGGGAGTTCAAAGTGTACAAATCATGTAAATGTTTACAAATTTTATGCAGTAGAGTACATTAATACAGTATGTTCCCTAGACCATCCATTTCAATTTCGAATTTTTTAAAGCTGTTAAATAAACTTTATAGTGAATTAGCTAAATAAAAATATTATTTGATTTATAGTTATAACGGAAAATCATCGTTTGTAAAGTGAAAGGCATAGAGTCTATGTAAAATGATCATTGGTCAATTGTGAAACCAGCCTATTTCATAATTTGGTTTTCTTTTAATATTAATTTTAGATTTTCTATAAAATGATGTACCAGGATTTAGCAAAAATATGTGAAGTACACCTGCAGTATGGAAACAGTACAACATATTGGCCGTTTTACACTTTTTCTAGTAAATTCCACTCTAATATATATTCTATTCTCTTTGATTACAATATCCAAATACTTCTGTATTTGAATGGTATATTGTTAAACGATTACAATAATCGAGTCCTAGAGCAAGAACTGAATTTTGTTGTAAAATTATAAGAATACCAGTACAAAAACTGGAAACTTAAATTCTTCTTTTCAGTATTACTTAGTAAATTCATCTATGTAAAATAAATAAAGAATATTTAAAGAATTTTTTTACCGTAGAGCAAAAGAAAACTAATTTTTATAGTTATTTTGATTTTTTTATTACATTTCATTGTATCAATGTTTCATTTATCTTAGTTCAGTTAATTAGATCTTTAAATGAAAACTAACGAATCGAATCGTATTCGCACTCGAATCTAATCACTTATACAGGTTTCGATAAGAATGAAAAGCATTGGGTTACAAAGTGTTACAAATATTGTAATAAAAAAATACGGTAAGATGTTTTCAAAAATGACAGAGAGATGTTGCAATTTTTTAGAGAAAGACTGTTAGAGAACACAAAAAACGTAAAGAATAAACGACCATGAATGTGAAAATGACAGCGCCTGGTTATAAATGTTTAATTACAGTGTTTAGAAGAGGACTGAAGCACCTCTTTACAAGGTTATATAATATACTAATAGCATTTGTATAGTCACAGAGGGGACAAAATATACATAATATATATTTATAAGGTTTCAGTAATTCAATCAAACACTGTCATGAAAATTAAAAATAATATTTAAATGTTAAGAAAAAAAAGTATAGCCAATAGCAAGTTTAGCTCATTAAGAAGTCTTCAAGTTAGCCATTTCGACTAGACTAGACGTTACAGCGTAGATTCTTGGGATGCAAAGAACCCATCAAAGAGATAATTAAGAAAATATTTATTTTTATTTTTATATGGCTCTATAGACCATGCTCTGTGTCAACCATATGTATGTCATTTGTTCTATTGGTCATTCACTCAGGAGATCTTTTTCTCTGACGGCATCTGCTTTATAAGTAATGATCTATATCGTTGCAATTCTATATGTTTTTATCTTAAAATTAAGAAGTATAAACAAATTCAAAAATGATTTTTCTTGATCTGAAAGATGTAGTAAAGACAATAAGACCAGCAGAATTGCAGAAAAACTAGCAATCAATATCTAAACAAAAAATGGCGATAATATTAGTTTATCAGTGATTATTATTTATGCTTATGAAATGAATATTCTTTTCCCTCCCACTAGATATAATTATATTGACAGAGTGGTAGACATAATAGTCTCTTGAGAGATATTCAACCAAACCTAATCATTTACAGTATCTATATCATCTTAGGTCTCTTGCTTTTAGGAATACAAAATTCTTTACAACATATATTACACAATGAGGTTTAGCTTACACAAGGAGTAAAGAGGCATTTATTCTCCGAATAATCAACTTCCCCTTGGGGGATCTCAGCTGTACAACTTCTATAAGTGACCTTCGAACAATTAGTAGAAGCAAATTTACAAGGATCATTTAGGCAAAGGATAATTTTTATTCAATCCTACAGTTTCGATGTTTTAGAAAAAAAGATCTAAATCTTATGAAAATTTCAAGCACGTTGTAATATAAACTGAGCTGAAAACTTTAGAATGGTGGATATCGGGATTAAGGCTTAATCCACTCTTTTTCTTAATCTCGAGATTAAATATTGCTTGTTCTCCACTCATTTTTAATCTCCAGATTAATTATACGATCAGGATTAAGGATATCCCATTCTAAAGTTTTCAGCTCTGGTGATATATTGGTGATCGTCTTCCGCCTAATGATATAAAACATCAATTCTGATGTCTCTGGAAAATTAACATAAACATTTAAAGAAATGTTTGGGCCGTGCCAGTGCACATATAACCTCCCTTGCTCAGGGCTTCATAAACTAAAAAGCAGTTTTTATCTTAGGAAAACACAGCTGCTGAACTCGGAATAAATTTAGAAGTGAGAGTATGAAAAAGAACACCTTCAATTTTATACAGTTGGCTGCTTCTGACATTTAAACCTTTCTCCCCACACACTCTAAACTTTATAAAACAACAGAAATAAGAAATTTAAAGGGATAGTTATTAGTTCAACACATTTAGGCACAAAATCTTTTTATTAAGTAAAATTGAATTATTATTAATTCTGACGTTTTTTAAAAACTCTTCACTTTTGTGGGGATGGAGGACAATTTAAGATGGAAGCCAAAGGGACATTGGTCGAAAGAACAAATCATATTTTAAAGGTAGGTAAGAATAGAATATAAAAGAAATTTCTGGAGGTCCTGATGCTGTTTAACCCAACAAGGTTACAGTATATAGAGTGATGATGTACACTAATCCTTTACTAATTTTACAGGCCATGTACTTCAATTACTGTATATTACAGTACTCGGGGGTGATTTTTGAAAATATTTAAATGAAGAATTTGTTTTCTATGTAACTATTAAAATCCACTACTTCTTTATCGTGTGCAGGACTCCATTTTCACAAGAATACGTACATTTACAGTCTTTTACAGAGAAATATTTCATCATTAATAAACTGTTCTTAGAAAACTGAGTAAAATTCAAGATACAAAACCTCCCCATAGACTTGCACTCCGAAAGCGTACTGCATATTTGATGTTTGTACTGTATGAATAGGCCATAATCTCTTAACACACGGAGAGGTAGATAAGATCCAGCCCCCCCTGGTTTAACCCTATCGTATTCGTATTGCGTGTGAACTCTGAAATATGTGTTGTTCCTAATATTTTCAGTTTTGAACAAATCCGAAAATATTCAAGGTTTTATGCCAATTCTACAATCGGAAAACAAAAAACCTAAGATTTGATTCCTCAAATGGCTCATTTTAATTGATTTCACATTTTAACCTCCAGAGGTCATTTAAATTTGTAGGTCAAATACCTTTCAAATAGATTTAGCCTGCTTATTAAAAGTCTCATCAATTTTTAATACAGAATCGACTTTGAAGTGTCGCAACGCCTTGGGCTTCGATTTTACTGGTCAATCGAGCTTTTCTGAAGCTCATTTTAGACTATAAGGTACTTGTTGTTAGCCATGGATTTTAAGAAGTAATTGGC